GGTTGGGCCGGGGATTTAGCTCAGTGATTTCACTGCCTGCCTTACAAACTTAAGGTCCCGAATGCAATAACAAAAAAAAAAAGAAAGAAAAATAGGTTACTTTTAAGGATAAGAACATTAATATATCCCAAAGTTAAAGTAACCTAATAATAGTTGGCTATTATATTTATCTTTGAGCTTCCAGGTTGTCAAGGCAAAAGGAAATGAGAAAGTAGGTACCTGTGTGGCCTGCTTTTTAAAAAACACACAAACCAGGAAAACTTGACCTTCAAATAGTTAAAAAAAAAAGTACATCTGAATACCGAATAGTTTCTCTGGTGTGAATAATCTGCAATAATACATAAGATCCTAATAAGATTACTGACATTTAGAAATGGGAAGAAAGGAGCTAAAAGTGTGGAGAAGGTGGGATGGGTAGGGGAAGGGTAATAAGGGAAAAGAAAAAAATGTGAGAGAATGAAAAGATGGAAATAAAGTGTTTGTAGATGGGGAGGGGAGGAGGGGGTGAAGGGAGGGCAGGGGTAAGGGGAAAAAATGAGAATCAAGACTTGTCATGTAGAGGTACAAGATCCCAACAATGAATGTAACTGTACTGTATCCCTAAAATGTACCAATAAACTCAGTTAAAGCTGAAAAAAATAGTTTATTCTTTTTATTGTTGAATGGTATTCCATGGTTTGGATATATTATATTTTGCTTAACCATTTATCTGTTGAAGGACATCTAGATGTTTTCCTAATTTTTAGCTATTGAAAATAAAGCTACTGTGAATATTCATGTGCACATTTTTGTGTAAATATATTTCCATTTCTTTCCTTTCTATTGATGAGTTTTCCATGGTATAGATATAAACAGTTTTTTAAAAAAACTATTCACTCATTGAAGGATATCTGTTTTTTTTCTTTCCATTTTTTGGATATTGTAGGTAAAGCTGTTATGAACATGCATATCCTGGCTTTTGTATTTTGTAAATATATTTCTATTCCTCTGTCATGAATGCCAAAATGCAATTGCTGGCTTTATGATAATAGCATGTTTTGTTTTACAAGAAACTGCCAAAGAGTTTTCCAGAGAGGCTCTACCATTTTAAATTCTCAGTAGCAATGTATGGGTGATTTCCTACACCTGTATTTCTAATCTTTCCATTATTCTTCCTTCTTGATACTCCAGAATTCCTTCTTTTGTAAATATCCTTTTTGTTTGAAGATTTTTCTTTAGACATTAAATTTTCTTTTCTTGAGACAGGGTCTTGTTATGTAATACAGGCTGGGCTTAAACTTAATATGTAGGGAATTTTCAGTGATTCTCCTGCCCCAGCTTCCCAAGTGCTGGAATTATAGTTGTGCACTACCACATCTGTCTTTTTTTTTTTTTTTGAGTCAGGTCTCACTATTAGGCTAGGCCAGTCTTGAACTTTCTCTGTCTAGCTCAGGCTGGCCTCAAACTCAAAATCCATTGTGCCTCAACCTCTTGAGGGCTGAGATTAGAGGCACGTGCCACCATGTTTTTAAGGGTAAATCTGTCCAGGTGTTGTGCACATCTATAATCCTAGCACTCTGGAGGGTGAGACGGGAGATTGCTGTGAGTTCAAGGCCAGACTAAACTACATAGTCAAAAAACAAAAACCACCACCACCACCACCAACAAAAGATAAATCTGCTAAGGACAAATTCTAATTTTACTTTTTGTGAGTATATTTTTATTTCCCTTTTTCCTGAAGGATAATTTTACCCAATATTGAATTCATGATTAATAATTCTTATTTTTCAGTAAGTGAAGAATTTGTAAAGATAGAAATACCAGAAAATATGGAAAACAGCTCAGAAGACAGTCTTGAGATATTGAGTTGCCCATCTTCACTGGAAAGTGACAGAGATCAGAGCTTTTCATCTTCACTTTACTGCACTTGCACCAATTATGGTGAGTTCAAAATGATTCATAGTGCTAGCTAATATCACTTTCATCTAGACCCATGAACATCCTTAATGAAAAACTAGTGGTATTTTAAAACTACACTTTAATTTTGTGGGAATGTAAGGTACACAGTTGTAAGAAATGATACAGAGAGAAATATCCTTTATATTTTACCCATTTTTCCCAATAACAATTTTGTATAATTATGATAGAACAACATCACAACCAGTATATTGGCATTGATGCATATACAAATCTTATTGATATTTCCTTGATTAATTATATTAATTTGTGTGTATGTATTTAGTTTTATTCCATTTTATCATCTTAAGTAAGTTTGTTTTTGTTTTTGTTTTTGTTTTTTGAGACAGGGTCTCACTATGTAGTTGAGACTGACCTGGAACTCACTGTGTAGCTCAGGCTGGTCTCAAACTCACAATGATCCTCCTGCCTCAGCCTTCTGAGTGCTGGGATTACAGGCGTGCGCCACCATGCCTGGTTTAAGTAGATTTGATATCTAAGATAAGCAACATTTCCATTACAACAAGAATGTCTCCTGTGGCCCTTTTATAACTATAATTCCTCAGCATAATTCCCTGGAGATTCTTCTGTCTTCTTGCATGTATCAGTTTTCCTTTTATAATTGTTGAATACTGTTCTATGCTATGGATGGACAACAGCTTGTTTATCTGTTGTTCATCCATTAAAGGAGATCTGGGTTTTTTTCAGTTTTTAACTATTAGAAGTAAGCTTCTATGACTTTTTATGTATGGGTTTTTATATAAACATTTTTTGATTTTTCTTGAATAAGTCTTCAAGAGGGCACATACTTGGTCGTATGGTCATTGCATGTTTTATAAGAAACTGCCAAATGGTTTTTCAGCAAGCCTGTACCATGTTAGGTTCCCAACAGCTGTGTAAGTGATTGTTTCTGCTCCCCTGTACATTCATTATTCTTCATTTTTCATGCTAAAGATTTGGTCTTTCATCATTCTTTTCTGTCTGAAATTTTTTTAGTTATTATTTTTTGTTTTATTTTGTTATTGCTGTATTTTCTATGCTGGTCCCAAACTCATGGGCTCAGGTGATCCTCCTCCCCCAGGCTTCCAAGTAGCTGAGAATTACAGGCGTATGCCACTGCACCTGGCTAGCCATTCTTTTTATTGTACCTCAGCTGTTAACAGATACTTCTAGTTTTCTGTCATGTGATAATATTTTTATTTCCCCTTCTTTCATGAAGAATAGTTTTTTCTGATAAAGAATTCATGTTTGAGATTTCTTTTTTTTTAGATTTCTTTTATTTCAATATTTGATAACATTTATTTATAGAAATGTTGGCAGAAAGGCACAAACCAGCCTGGAAAGGAGCCCTGAGACAAATTATTTACCTTTATTGGAAAATGACATCATCTCACTGCATCTTCTTCCATTTTGTAGAATTTGAAATGACATGTATTGCATGTAGCACTATTGAACCTAGATTCATTAACATCTTTAGTGCAAGATAGCAGTAGCTTTTTTTTAGCAGTAGCTTTTCTTAATTAAACTTTTTAATTTTCCAGAAAAATTTAGCCAAGAGACAGTTGTAATAAATAATGCAGCAAAAGCCTCTGCTCCCATTACCTAGTTTTTTTTTCCAGGATATTGATGTGATACTGTTTATATATATATTGAGATGTACCCAGTTTTACTTGTCTTCATTTGTGTGCATATGTATGTTTGTGAATCACAGTTCAATTTTACTATAAGTGTAGTGCCTTGTATTTTATAGGAATCCCTTGAACAGTTCTATCAACAGCATGATCGCTTATGTTGCTCTTTTATAACCACATTTCCTTTCCTCCAGTCAGTATCCCCCTCCCACCTCTGCTTTCTCTTAACTGCTGACAACCACTAATCTTTTCTCCAGATCTGTCGTTTGTCCCTTCAGTATCATATAAACAGTATTTTTTCTCTTCAGTATAATTCACCAAGGATTCACTCATATTATATATCCTTCATTCTTCCTTTTTCATTGCTGAGTCATATTCCATGGTCTAGTTGCACTATAATTTATCTGTTCACCCATTGAAGTCTCTAGGCTTCTCGTTTTTGACTGTAAGGTATAACATTGCTGTAAATGCTCATTTAAGTTTTTAGTTTTATTTTATTTATTTATTTGTTTGTTTTTCTTTCATTGAGTTTATTGGTACTTTTTAGGTATACAGTACAGTTACATTCATCATTGGGATCTTGTACCTTTACATGACAGGTCTTGGTTCTCGTTTTTTCCCCTTGTTCCTGCCCTCCCTTCACCCCCTCCTCTCCTCCCCATTTACAAATACTTCATTTCCATTTTTTCATTTTCTCCTATTTTTTTTCTTTTCCCTTATTACCTTTCCCCTACCCTTCCCACTTTCCCTACACCTTTAGCCCTTTTCTTCCTATTTCACATTGTCCATTATATCATTAGGATCTTATGTATTATTATAGTTTATTCACACCAGAGAAACTATTCGGTATTTACACATGTGCGACTTATTTATTTCACTTAGGAGTATATATCCTCAACATGTATATTTTATTTATTTTTGTTTGTTCATTTCTTTATGCTGAATGCCCAAGAGTGCAACTGCTGGGTCCTTCGGTAACTATATGTTTAGTTTGATATGAAACTGATAAACTGGTTTCCAGTGGCTGTACTATTTCCCATTCCTACCAGTAATATATGATGGTGCTATTTTTTCTGTAGCCATACTTCTGCTCTTCTACTGTTCTTTCTTACTTCCTGATGCTCCATTCCTTCTGTCATAGTCTTTCTGATCAAAGATTTTCCTTTAGCAATTTTTAAGTAAGAGTCAGCTAGTAACAAATACTTTGGGTTTTTCTTTGTGAATGTCTTTATTTTTACTTCATTCTTAAAGGATAGTTTTGCTGGGTATACAATATGAGTAGCAGTGTTACAGCATTTCAAAAATATTTTTTATAGGAATGTTGGGTGAAAAAGAAACTGGCTTTGACAAGAACCTTCAGACAATGAACAACTTACATATAATGGAATATGAGAGTGAAATATCTCCCTATTCATCTATGTCTAGTTCTCCCAGTTCTGGTGAGTTTAAAATTATGTATATCACAAGTAGACTAGTCTAGATTGGTGGTGGCAAACCTATGGCATGTGTGCTGTAGCCAACTCTTTGTTATGTTGAAAGCTCTGAAAGGTTCACCATCACTCTCTTCATGTGAATTAATGCTAGCTTTTCCTAATGAAAATTAAGTTATTTTGAGAAAATTTTAGTTGCATAAAATTTCCCCAGTGAGAACATCTGACAAACTTCTAGTAAAATGTAAAAACAAAGATATTTATATAGATAAAATCAGATTTTATTGAGATGTACTCATTTTTACATGTGTGTGTGATTTCATAACATGCGTAGGTTTCTAAATCCTCCATCACAATCAAGATACAGAAATAAGGATCCTGTTACCCCTTGAAGCCATATCCACTTTCCTCTTTTAACCCTCTTGCTTCTATTCTGCTCTGTCCCTGCCACTTGCAACTACTAATCTGTTGTCCTCCTTTGTATATATTTTTTAAAATTTGTAGTTTATATAAGTGGACTCATAGTCTACCATCTTTTGAGATTGGCTTTCTCACTCTGCATAATTCTCTGGAGGTTCATTCAAGACAGTGTTTGTATTGGTAGTTATTTCTCTTTTACTACTGAGTACTATGCCATGGTATAGATATACCATAGTACATTTCTTTTTTTCACCCATCAAGTGATATCAGGGTTGTTTCCTGTTTCTGGTATTTAGAATTAAAGCTGGTATGAACACTCATGTACAGATTTTTGTGCAAACATATGTTTTCATTTCTTTGAGATACTTCCCTAGAGTGTAATTACTGGATCAACATATTAATTATATGTTTGGTTTCATAAAACACTGTCAAGTTGTTTTCCAAAATGGCAGTATTATTTTCTGTTCCCTCAAGTATTGTAGGAGTTGGGTGCCGGGGAATTAGCTCAGTGGTGCCACCACCTGCTTCACAAGTATTGTAGGAGTGATCTAGTTTCCCTACATGAATATTTCTGCTCTTCTGTTTTTTTTTTTGATGCTACAAGATTCCTCCCTTCCTATCCTTTCAGATTGAAGGGTTTTCTTTCGTCATTCCTTAAGGGTAATTCACCCAGTGACAACTTTTTAAAAAAGTGTTTGTATGAGAATGCCTTTATTTTTCCTTCATCCCAGCAGGATATTTTCACTTGATTTAAAAAAAAAACTGGGTGAGATGTTTTGTCTTTCAGCACTTGAAAATATTTTACATATTAAAATGTACTATGCATGTGTACCAACTCCCCACAATGAATGTAATCATCATGTGTTATGGACATATACTATTTGTTTGTTTGTTTGTTTGTTTTTGGTACCAGGGATCCAACTCAGGTCCTTGCGCTTGCAAGGCAGGCAGCGGAACCACTGAGCTAAATCCCCAGCCCATGGACATATACTATAAAACTGTTGCCTAAAACAACCCAACTTAGAAATGAGACCTTACTGGGCCAGATTTAGTTCAGTGGTTCCGGCTACTGCCTTGCAAGCGCAAGGGCCCAAGTTTGATACCCGACACCTCCCTCCCCAAAGTGAGACCTAAGTCAATGAATGGCCCAAATTTAATGGAAAATGACAGTGATCATCAGTTCCAGTTTTGGTGAGTTTGTAATGGTAACTATTGCAAATAGCACTCTTCATTCTAGACTCATCAGTATTCTTTTTTTTTTTTTTTGGTACCAGGGATTGAACTCGGGATCTTGTGCTTACTAAGCAGGTGGCAGCCTCACTGAGCTAAGTCCCTGGCTTGTCAGTATTCTTAATATTACTTCTTGGTGATAAACTTCTCAAAATGAAACTTTACTTTTTGAGATATTTCCAAATTATATGTCAGCATAAGAAACAATGCAGGGAATTCTTGTAAAATCTTTACCCAGTTTCCCCCAGTAATAATATTTGCAAAAAAACAGTAAAATGTTATAACTAGGATTTTGACATTGATACAGTTGATCACAGTTACTGACAATGATCTATTATGTCCTCAGCTGTCTTGGTATTCATTTGTGTGTGTATTTAGTTTTCTGCAATCTTATGTATAGGTTCAGGTGTCCATCAAATTCTGAACTGTCCTATCACTTTCATGAAACATTTTGTTGATTTTTTTATAACACATTTACCTCCCTGATCTCTTCCCTCACCTACCCAACTGCTAGTATGTTCTCCCTAATTATAATTTTTTCATTGCAAAAATGTTTACAACAATGTTATACAAACCAACTCATATAGCATTTAAATTTGGGGAATGACTTTTTCTACACAGAATACCTTGGAAATTTATCTGTTTTTTTGCAAAAGTAGTAGCTTTGTGCATTTCAGCAGTTCCTTCTAAGTGGTGAGTACTGTTCTGTCATATGAATGTATCATGGCTTGTTTATCCACTTACTCTTTAAAGGATATCTAGATTGTGTCCAGTTATTTATCTATTACAAGCAAAGCTTCTACAAGCATTAGTATATAGATTTTGGTGTGAACATATTTTTTCATGCAGTTACTTGATTGGTGGTATGCTAAATGCATATTTAATATTATACTACATATTTAGTATTAAACTATTTTCAGAGTGGGTAAACCATTTTACATTCCCAGTAGCAATATGTAACTCATGTTCTCTGTATCCTTATAGTGTTTGGTGTTTCATTATTATTTTAGCCATTTTGATAGGAATATGGTAATATGTCATTGTGGATTAAACGTGCATTTGCCTTTACATGTGCTAATTTTCCATCTTAACATTCTTTTCTATGAAATAACCTGTTTCTGTCTTAAGTGTTTATTTTTTAAACCACTGAGTTTTGAGTTAGATAGTGTAGAAACTAGTCTTTTGTTGGATATGCAATTTGCAGATATATTTTCCTATCTTCAACTTGCCTTTTTGTCTTCCCTATACTGTAGGGTTTTTTTTCTTGTGGAGAGAAAGCTTTTAATTTTCATGAAGTCTAATTTATCAAGGTTTCTTCTTACTGGTTTTCTTCCTTCCATTGAATGAATTGCTTTGCACCTTTATCAAGTATCAGTTAGGCATATTATTGGGTTCCCAGTTATGTTTCACTAACTTGTTTTTTTTCCCTTTTTTGTGTGGTACTGAGGATTGAACCCAGGCCTTTGCTCTGAGACATCCCATGCCTTTTTATTTTATATATTTAGTTTGAACCAGGTCTTGCTAAGTCACTAAATTGCCCAGGCTGAGTTTGATCTTATGTTCCTTCCTGCCTCTGCCTCTCAGAGTGCTAGGATTAAACTGTCACAACTGGCTCCACTTATCTGTTTCTATCTCTGCCACATCACGCTATCATGATAACTTTTGTTGCACAGTAAGCTTTAACATCAGGTAGAATGATCCTTCCTACTTTAGTCTTCTTTTCAAAATTGCTTTACGCTATTTTAGGTCCTGTGTTTTTCCATGTTAATTTTAGAATAATCTTGATTATGTTTTTTTCAAAAAAAACTTTCTGAAGTTTTTGATAGAAATTATCTTTTTAAAAATTAATTTTATTGCCAAATTTTAGGTATACAATATAAGGACATTCACCATTGGAAATTTGTACCTTTACATAATCTATCTTGGTTCTTATTTTTCCCCATTCCCCTGCCCTCCCTTGAGGGAAATATCTATTAGGGTCCTTGCACTTGCAAGGCAGGTGGCAGAACCACTGAGCTAAAATCCCTGGCCCTCTATTATGCCTTTTGATCCTTATTTACACTTTCAGTTTCTCACACCAGAGAAGCTGCTCAGTATTTACATGTGTGCCCTATTTATTTCACTTAAGAGTATGGTCTCAATGTGCATCCATTTAGCAATAAATGTCTCTAATTTCTCATTCTTTATGGCTGAATAGTACTCCATTTTATAAAGAAATCACATTTAGGAATTATCTTAAACCTACGGATCAACTTGGGGAGAATTAAGAAAACTCAATTCCTTGAGATTTTCTACCTGGCTAACTATGCCTCTTAAAATATGCACCATTTTGTTTTTTCCTGTACAGTCAGTATGTCTTTTATTTATCTTGCCTTATTGCAGTGGCTAAAACTTCCAATTTTATATTGAATATGAGTGGTTAGACAAACTTGTCTTGATTCTGCTATCAGGGGTAACTCATCTAGTTTTTCACTGTTTAGTATTATATTAACTTCAGACTTTTCATAGAGCTCTTTAATAAGTTCAAGTAGTTTCACTCTTAATGTGCTGAGAGCTATCATGAATGATTGATAGATTTTGGCAAGTGCTTTTTCTGTGTCAGTGTTCACATGATTTTTCATATTTACCCTGTTGAGACAGTAGCTCGCCTTGATTGATTTTTCAGTGTTGACCAGCCTTGCATAATTGGTCATGGTGTGTAATTATTAATATACACTATTTATTTTATTTGCAATTATTTGTCTAGGGATTTTTGTGTCCACTTTCATAAAAGATGTTGATTTTTAGTTTTCTTTCTTTTTTACTTTTTCTGGTTTTGGTATTAGTACACATTAGCCTCACATACTGAGTAGTTATGTAACTCTTTTATGGAAGATTATGTGAAAAGTTGGTTTTAATTCTTTAAATATTTGATTAAAAGGTCCAATAAAATAATCTGAGTCTGTATATTCCTTATTGGACAACTTTCATTTACAAATCCCACTTCTTTGTATATTCCTTATTGGATAACTTTCACTTACAAGTCCCATTTCTTTGATGCTTATAGGACTATTTAGATTACATATGTCATCTTGGTTGAGTTTTGATAGCTTTTAGCTTTGGAGGAATTGGTCATTTCTTCTAAGTTACTGAAATATATGAATGTAATATGGTTGTGGTATTTACCATTATCCTTCCAGGGGCTGCTGAATATGCAGCGATCTCTCTTGTTTCATTCTTGATGTTTATGGTTTATATAATCTCTTTTTGTTTTTCCAGAAGTTTGTTAGCTATATTGATATTGTTGGATAATCAGCTTTTTACTTCACTGATTCCCTATTTTTTTCATGCTTTCAATTTCATTGATACATGTTCTTTATTGTTTCATTCTCTTACTTCCATTCCATTTTACTTTTCCTAGCTTTTGGTTAAGGAACTTAGAGATTTGATACCTTTCCTCTTCTCTAAGGTAAGTATTTAATGTTACAAATTTTACTTTTGGTACTGATTTATCTGCATCCAATATGTTTTGGTGTGTTGTATTTTCATAAATCCAACATATTTTTTAATTTCCTCAGAAAATTCCTTTTGATATGTGGAGTACTTAGGTGTATGTTGTTTAATTTTCAAGTATTTAGAGAATTGCCTGTTGTCTTACTATTGGTTCCATTGTGGTTGGAAAATATATCCACTGTGATTTCTGTTCTTTTAAATTGTTGAGATTTGTTTCTCTAGCCCAGGATGTGGTCTGTGTTGGTGAATGTTTCAGAGGCATTTGATAATATATGTTCTGCCTTTTTTGAGTGGAATATTCTATGATTAAAATCTTGTTGATTGGTCCATGTTATTCAGGTCTTCTGTGTCTTCGATTATTTTCTGTATTTTTTGAGGGGGTACTGGGGATCAAACTCGGGCCCTTGTGCTTGTGAGGCAGGCAGTGGAACCACTGAGCCAAATCCCTGGCCCTGTTTTCTGTCTTGTTGTTCAACCAGTTGCTGAGAAGCTGGTGCTGAGGTTCACCTGTAACTTTGTACTTGTCAGTTTCTCCTTTCAGCTCTTTCTGTTTTTGAGATTGTTGTTTTCTGTGTACACAGCGAGGATCATTATATCTTCTTGGAGGTTAATACTTTTATTGTTACCTAACAGCCTTTTTCTTCTAGTAACTGTCTTTGCTGTGCTGCTTTAATTTTGATGTTTACATGGTATATATGTTTTTCATCCTTTTACTTATTTTTTTCATTACTGGAGATTGAGCCCAAGACCTTTACACGGAGCTACATTTCTCAGCCTTTTGAGGTTTTTTTTGGAGGGGCAGGATCTTGCTAACTCGATAAATTACCCAGGCTGAAGTTGGACTTGTGTGATCCTTCCTGTTTTAACTTCAGCAAGTGTAATCCTAGTAGTAGGATTATAGGCATGCACCACCATGCCTAGCTTCATTGTTTTAATCCTTGTCCTTTTTTTGTTTTTGTTTTTTGAGGTGGGGTCTTGCTTGCTGTATAGTTCAGGCTGGCCTTAAACTTGCTATGTAGCCCAGGCTGGTCTCTAATTCACAGTGATCCTCCTGCCTCAGCCTCTTGAGTGCTGGAATTACAAGTGTGTACCACCATGCCTGGCTCATCCTTTTACTTTTAACCTACCTATGCCTTTGAAATTGTAGAGCTTCTTATAAACAACATATAGTTCCATCTTATTTTTTATCTACTTTGTCATTGTTGCCATTTAATTGATCTGTTTAGGCCATTTGCATTTAAGTTATTTGTTATAATCCTAAGGTCTCTGTCTTTAATTTCATTTTATTTTATTAAAAGATTTTTGCAGTACTGGGGATTGAGCCCAGGGTCTTTGCACTGAGTTATATGCTCTGCCCTTTTTCTTCTTACTTTTT